ATTACATATACAGTGCTGTCCAATAGAACTTTCTATAATAACAAAAGTATTCTGGAGTTGTGCTGTCTAAATCAGCAGCCACTAGCAGCTGAACGTGGTTATTGTGAATGAAAACTACATTTTTTAATTATCTTAAATTTAAATAGCCACATGTGCCTCATGTCTACAGCATGTATCTACATAGCACTGTATCTCTACAAAAATATGTAGCATGTATCTGTAACTTTAAAAGGAAAATTTTAGCAGTTATTAATGAATCCATAATATACGAAATAAGATTTAAAAAAACTGAGGAGACAGGTTGCTGAAATAAATTATGAAGCTTGCCCCACAAATAAAATAAAAACAAAAGGAAACATTAAAATGAGAAAGTTTCAAATTTAAGAATCTAACCATATTGCAGAGATTCAAATAGAAAACAGAGTAATTAAATGATGAATGAGCTACCTAAAATGCTAACTATAACTACTAGAAACACAAAAGACCAAAAATTGAAGATAATGATTAGCATATCCAATAGGTAATCAGATAAGCTTTTAAAATATGGTCAAGTTAAAATGATTAAGTTAAGGAAGTTTAATCATTTAATTCAAGAAAGAGGGAGAACACATTTGAAGAAATACTATTTGGCAATAGCTTACAAATATGTTAATCTGCAAATGATGTTATAAATGCTGTATATATATTTTTAGAATAGACCTTGATAGACCAAATAACATACTTCTTTGGCATCTAATATGGAAATGATATTTTATCCTGAACTCATTATTTCCCATCATTTTAAATAATACTGAATTTCATTTAATGTTAGAGCTTCTGAAACATGGCAAAATTTGTTCAGAACAGACAATTGAAGTTCTAAATTAGAAATGCTATAAATTGGAAGTTCCTTGATTTACTTTTTGATTATTAGTTTTTTTCAGTAATAAAAAAGGGAATGGTAACAATCTCATTAGGTTGAGCTAAGGAACAATTAATTGAAATGAATGAAAACCCTTTGAGGCAAAAAAGGTTAGTGGCATAAAAGAATATTAAAATTAGTTGAAGGGGGAGATAATATTTAATACAGTGACATATGCAGATCAAATAATTCAATAGTGATGTAAAAGACACAGTTCATGAAATCAAATTGTCTTGTTTAAACTCAGACTAGAAGGTTGACAACAGTATTCCTTTAAAGTGTGGTTATGTCTCTGAAGACTTAAAAGATGTTAGAGATTATTCCTAAAATTGAACAACACTGATTATCGGTAATAAGATTCGTAATTAATGATAACTTATTAAGCATCAACTTGGCAATGGGTAGTAAAACATAAAAAAGACAAGATTTGTGCCCTTGAGTAGTTTACCATCAGGTTTGAAATATGACAACTGGGCTAACACCACAGCTTTTGCACACATTGCTTCTATTATGGCACCAGTTACCATGTATGGTAATTTTTTTTATTTTCTGCTTTCTCTTTTAGACTTTGAGCTTCTTTTTTTTTGGAGACAGAGTTTTAAGCTCTCACCCCTGGGTAGAGTGCCATGGCATCACAGCTCACAGGAACCTTAGACTCTTGGGTTCAAGTGATTCTCTTGCCTCAGCCTCCAAAGTAGCTGGGCCTACAGGCACCCGCCACAATGCCCGGCTAAGACTTTGAGCTTCTTAAGGATCCATGTCATATTTATCTTGGCACCTCTAGTGCCTGGTGCACCAAAGAGTTTAATGTAAATATACTGAATATATTGACAAATGGACCTAAGTAAATGTAAGACCAAACAAAATTAAATGATATAAGAAAGTTATTACACAAGTTCTAAATAATATAGGACAGACACAAATTATTTCCAGTTGTAAAGACTGGAAAATGCTTCATGAACTCAGGCCATGAAGGATGAATTTTCAGAAATCGACAATTGGAAGCAGTGGAAGGAAGTAGCCTTCTAGTGGAGGAGAACATGGAAAATGGAAAGTATAAAACCTGTTCATGGAATAATGCCAGAAGTATTGACAGAGAACTTCCCTATTAATAAGGCCTGTATAGGGAAGAAGGGTAAGTCCATTCTTGGAGTCATAAAAGGGTTTGAATTAGGCAAACAGCAGGATTACAAATGTGCTTTGAAAAGAGGGGGCTGTAGCTCGTGGAATGGACTGGAAGTGAAAATATACTAGATCCAAAGAGAATAATGAAACAAGCAAGGGACTGTAGGTAGGAGGTAAAAAGGACCTGAAATGCAGTACTAAACATGGAATAGAACGGCTAGATTCGAGAAAACTACCATGTGATGATCCTTTAAATTGTATTTAAGAATTCCAGTCACTTTTCCAGTTTCCATTCTTACATCCAACTTTATTAGACTACATAGCAGCCAAAGTTATCTTTTAGATTTTATACCCTTGCTCAGCATATTGCAATAATGTCTCATTGCATTTAGAATAAAATCAGGACTTCTTACTATGATCTACAAGACTATTTGGCCTTTGCCCTCTTCTCAGATTTCCCCTTCCTTAAATTGCTTGGTCCTAGCCGTACCTGTGAATGTGGTTCCTCTAAATACTGAGCTCATTTTCTTGAGGGACTCTTTACTAGCTGTTTCTGAGGCCTGGGATGTTCTTCCCTATGCTCTCACATGGCTGGCTTTTATACTGTTTTCACATCTCAGCTAAAACGTTACCTTCTCAAAGATGTCCCCTCTGGGCTCGGCGCCTATAGCTCAGTGGTTAGGGCACCGAACACATACACCAGTGATGGCAGGTTCGAACCTGGCCCAGGCCTGCAACAACAACAAAAACAACAAAAATAGCCAGGCATTGTGGCGGGCACTTGTAGTCCCAGCTACTTGCAAGGCTGACGCAAGAGAATTGCTTAAGCCCAGGAGTTAGAAGTTGCTGTGAGTTGTGATACCACAGCACAGCACTCTATCAAGGGTGACATAATGAGATTCTGTCTCCCAAAAAAAAAAAAAAAAAAAAAAGATGTCTCCTCTGGATCAATATTCCTACAGCAGCCCTCCCACTATTCTCCCTCTCGCTTCCTACAGCAGCCCTCCCACTATTCTCCCTCTCGCTTCCTACAGCAGCCCTCCCACTATTCTCCCTCTCGCTATCATATTACCCTGCCTTATATAATTATCCTCTTTATATATACATGCTGTTATTTTATTCTCCCCTGCACCATAATAGAGGACCACATCTCTGTTATTCACCACTCTGTTCTCCCCAATACAAGGGGAAAACCTGAAACACAGTAGACATTCAATAAATACACATTTGGTAAAAACAGAATTTTAATCACAGTGTATAACCTTCTTTGAAACATACTTCTTTTCTTCTGTTATTGTATTATGAATTGCCTTATAGACCGGATTGAAAAATGTAGATTTTAGATCATGTAGTGCCTTATGGAGATGCAAAGTAGTAAGATTACACAAGCTATTCAGCTTTTGTGATTAAATGATTTGGTGGCCTTAAAATAAAACTCACCATCTTACCTAAAAAGATAAGTTCTTTGCCACAGAATTTACAGAGAGATAGCAAAGAGACTTACACTAAATGTGGTCAGAGTGGGAGAGCTTTCCACGAAACAAGATATAGAAACTTCCCAGCCAACACTATGAACTAAGCTAACTAAAATAATTCCATACCTTCTGCCTGTCTCCCCACTATTGCTGGCAGTCATCTATGGTTTTATTGTGTCTGAACCCATGATTCCTCTGAATTATTTTCTTTCTTTCTTTTTTTTTTTTTGAGACAGAGTCTTACTGTTGCCCTCAGTAGAGTGCTGTGGCATCAGAGCTCACAGCAACCTCTAACTCCTGGGCTTCGGCAATTGTCTTGCCTCAGCCCCCTATAGCTGGGACTACAGGCACTCGCCACAACACCTGGCTATTTTTTGTTGCAGTTTAGCCAGGGCGGGGTTTGAACCCACCACCCTGGGTATATGGGGCTGGCACCCTACCCACTGAGCCACATGCGCCACCCTGAATTATTTTAATTTAAAAATAGAAAATTTCTTTCATTAAATACATAATGTAATCTTAATAGCAGCACATGTCAACTGATTATTCAGTGTTTGGGACACAGAAACAGCTACATATCAGAGAGCCAATGGCCTTGACTTTGAATTAAAAGTAAAGCTCGCAGACAAAGCTGCAAAGGACTTGGAGGAAGCTGCTTGAAATACCCAGAACTCTGGAATTACCTGCTAATTCCAGATCCCAATCATTAAATTGAATTTACCAACATTTATGTGATGGTTTAGTTTAAAGTATAAGCCCATCTAACTTACTACTATGACTGTATTTGCATCAATCTATAAACATCATGTGAAGTGTTTATTATTATTTCTATTCTGTAAGATGTTGAAGTAATTTCTCCAGTACTACGGCATATGTTAGGTAGGACTCACCCTAGGATATTCTGACACAAATTCCATGTACTTTCCTATATGACTCAGAAAGTCAAGGTCCTACATAACAAAGTTACGGACATTAACTATATACTAAACAAGAAACTATTCTTCCCATAGTAAATACTAAGTAGATTGAGAGAAGTGATTATTTGCAAATTTGAGTAGCTTCAAAAGGAAGACAAATAAGGAGGATAAGAACAATGGTTGTTATTTTAAAAGTAATTTGGTTAGAACAAGATTCAAATGCATACAGAAAGAGGTAAATTTTTCTAGCAATATCAATATGATGACTATACAATATAACCTTAATCAGATGCATAAAACTTCAAATAATTGTTGGAAATTGATAAAACTAATTAAATATTACTTCAAGATAATCAGTATTATAAATATAATTTACTTTCCAAAGGGGAAAATAGAAATCTGTATTGTAAGAACAGAAAATAATCCTTATTATCATAATTTGTTCATAAAAAGTTTGTTATTAACACAAGTTGAATATTGTATTTAGTTAAGCTCTTCTATGGACTTTGTTGTTTGCTAAAATTATAGAGTGGTAACACCAACTTAAATTACTGAAAGGAAGACGCAAATAATTCTACATACGTTCTTTTAACATCTTGTTCAATCATTGATCGAAGTTCTTTATCTTGGAAGAATTTATTCCAGAGACTCTGAAATAAGGAAAACAACCTATTTAAATGAATCTCACATCTTCGCTTGACTTTTGTAATTTCAATTTAATAATTTAAATGATTAAATTTATCCTTTCCTGAGTTATTTTTTAGTGCAGATAGAAAACCTGAGATTGGGATCATTTTTATTAAAATTTAGCTTAATCTCTCAAATACACCCTTACTCTAACATCACTTTTTCCAGTTTGATATTATTGAATATAGTTAGTACTCTGTATCTGTGAATTCTGAATTTAAGGATTCAACCAACTATAGATCAAAAACATTAGGAACAAATAAAAAATGATGCAACAATAAAAAAACAATACCAACTTAAAAAATACAGTATGATAATTTTACACAGTATTTACATTTTAGTAGGCATATAGATTACACAGAAACAATACACTGCTTTACACAAGGGACATAAACACCTAAAAGTTTTGGTATCCACAGAGGTCCTGGAAAGAATCCCCCATATACTGAGAATGACTGTGTATTTTTAGAACATCTATGATATAAAGAGAAGAATAATTTTCACAGCTATACACTATTATTACTGTACAACAATACAAAAGTGCTTGGATTAGAGCAGGACACATTGGTCAAGTGGCTCCAGCTTGAACCTGACTTAAATTCCCAGTGCACTGAAGATACATAATGTTTTCTACAACACTTGGTTTGATAATCCAGTAAATTTTAGCATGTATTTTAAAATGTAAATTTAGGGAAGGTTTTAAAAATCACTTAATATTTTATACTTCTATACCAAAGACTACAGGATACTTATTATATCAAGAAAAAGAAATGCTAACATTATAATGAAATAGAAAAAAAACTTATTCTTAGGTAAACAGATAAAGATTAGAGAAGCAACAACTAAAGTTATATATTATCTTTAAAGTAGTAATTATTCCTAGTCTTCATTGGAATATGAGAAGTAGGCCTGATCTTTTTCGTGATCTTTTTTTAAACTTCTTCACAGACTCATTCACTACAAATAGTTACTTCTCTCTTCCTGGAAGTTAGTCTTGCCAAGTGAACCCTTCTCTACTTTATCATGAGGCTTTCCTGAGCCACCTCATTCCACATTTCAAACTTGATGAGACGGTTCTATTCTCATCTTTATGCTCTTCTATTTTACTCGTAGATGCTACAGATAATGCTATTCCACAGAAATAGATACTTAATTTCCTACAGTATACTATGTATGTAACATAAAACAATTTCCATCAGGTTTTAGGTAATAGCATATACATAATAAAGAAAATAGTTGGCATGAGATATCGTTTTCATAGTGATTGATAACCAAGCACATAAGCATATTCTTGTGAGCAAAAGAGGTTGAGATATCAATAAAGAGGAACTTTACCCCTTCATCCTGTGAAAGGGGATTATTGATCATCAAATCTTGCTGGCCAACAACCTTCCTTGGATTTGTAATATGCTGGTAAAGAAAAAGAAAACACACACACACATAAGAATTAGAGGCTGCTGAATTTTAAGTATGCATAAGAAAACAATCACAGCAACTAAATTTATTATTTACTTACTATTTCTTTAATGTTGCTATACCATGCTCTTAACTCTTTAATTCTACTTATCCACTGACTTTTATCTTGAGGAAGAACACAAAGAAATAGCTGTGAAGAAACAAAGAGGAAACTTTTATAACAATCAAAAGATATAAAATGTGAAACTATGCCAAACAGAATTATTTGAAAATTGAAAGAAATCACATTCAAGATATTTCATATTTATACAATCATTCAATTCCAATTACTAATAACTTAGAGTTAGAGATATTTAAATACATACAATTAGAAAATTCAAAAAGTGAACAATCAGAAAACCAAAAAACAAGGATATAAAAGCTATAGCACAAATGGAACCAAGCTCCCTACCAGATTTATACTGCAAAGGAAGAAAAATTCATTGAGGTCCAAGTATTACTCACCTTTTACATTTTAATCTTAATGACAGTGGTAGGGGATTATTAAGAAGTACAAGATCTAGTCAGAAACTAAGCTTAAGGTTTTGTCGTAAAATAAATGAGTAAAATATAGCAAAAGACAGTGTAAGGACTAAGGACACAGCCTGAAACACAAAGGAATTCCTTTCACAGAGCAAACTATAATTTACAAATGGCAATCAGCTTATAAAAATAACAAGCAGTCTTAAAAAGACAAATTTGATTTAATTTAGTTTAATACAACATTAAAGTAAATCTAGATTTAGGTTTATTTTTAGAAAAAGAAAGATACTAAAAGTTAAACAACAGTGAATAGTGGTAGGGCACATATATTTGTATATAAATCCTCAAGCTACAGGTCTCTTGCCTTTAATGCCTGCATCTAAAAGAAGAAAAATATAAGTATTAAATCTAAATTATCACATCTAAAAATGTCTAATGCATCATTTGTTCTTTACTATCTTTACTTTCACAAACTCTGTACGCTCCATTTATGCACACAGATAACGAAAAAGCTTTCAGTAGAAGTCAGTATAGAAATGAGTCTAAACATAAACTAATTCATTTTTGGAGAACAAAAAGAAACAGTATTTAAAGCAACTGAAGAGTTAACTATAGATTATTATTACTAGTTTTAGTCACCAATGGCCTTTTCCCTCTGAAGGAAAATAACCCAATTTCCTTCTACTTCTTCCTGCTCTTCAATTTGTGTTTTCAGTAAAAGAAATGTGAAAAAAAATCTTTTACATTTGCTAGTTATAAAGAAAAAAGGGAAGAAGACTAAATGATGGAACTCGAAAGCCTCCCCGATTCCCTTCCCCTGCCCAGCTTCAAAAATTCTGCAAAAGCCTCTGGGGAACGTGAAAGTGTTCTTCTGAATACTACACCAACAAAACATGAAAAGAGACAGTTATCGCACATGATTCCTTTACCGTCACCAGTTATTCTGGATTTATTAGTAAATGTCCTATGAAAGATAAACAAAGATGGGCAAAATAATGGGAGTGAAGTCTTTTGGAAAATGCAGTGATCCCCTTCATGGGTAATCTTCCAGGGCATCAGGTAATGTGTTGATATATTGCAACCACAAACTGTAAATAAATATTTTCTTCTTACCTTCCAGCAAATGCTGCGGAACCTGCTGCTTCTCAGCTGCCCATTAATCCCCTTCTGCCTTATTGTTGCCAAGTAATTGTTGTTTACAAATAGTTCTTCCCATTCTTTCCTACATGAAAGAAACCAAAGCAAGGGAATCCTTTTGTTAAAATTCATCTGCTTGGAGAGGAATGCTACTGGAAATTAATTTTAAATAAGTGTAAGAAATACAACTTTTAAAACATATATATTTAGTTGTGTACTGTTTCTAAACGCATGGCTGTCTTTTTGGATACAGTTCTTCTGTAGATTTAATGAATATGTAGATAGCTATAATTATGCCAGCTATTGAAATTCATTTCTATGGAGGCTATTACATTTCCTTTAAGATGTTGATAGTGCAGTTCAGTGTATAAACAACAAAAGAAAAGAATATTAATATAAATAAATGACTGTTTTTAGCTGTGACAAAAATACACATACACACTTCAAAAATATACAACAAAAAGGTGTAATGTTGATTATATTGGCTTCTCAACAGATATAGTGAAATATCTGTTTAAATGAACCTGTTTTTCTTTAATGCCAAGCTGAGGAGTTAAGTATAATAGAAGACTACTTTCTTTAACTGTTAGTGCTACTTAATATTGAAACCTCTGCAAATTTTTCCTACATGATCAGTTTTAAAATTTTAACAGGTGTAGGAAAATTTGAAAAAACATCAAAAAATTAAAAGGCCTCACTGTAAAAATTGTTAAAGGCAAGCCTGAGTACCTTGCAGTACCTACGGCTGAGTAGATAAACAACTGAAATATGCCTCCCAGGCATGCAGACACCAGGGGCCTAACACCTGTGCCTCATTAATATACAAGTAAATCTGCTCTACTGGGAAACAATTGGAAATTAATTGTCCCAAACCATTTACTGAGTTTGAATAAAGGAATTAGACCTATATTCCCTGCATCTTGCACCAAACTAAACATTAAGAATCATTTAAGTTGTAGCCACTGAGATCAGCTCATGAAACTTCTCTCAAATTCTATCACACCACAATAAAATAAACTCATAACTGAACATTTATTATCAAAGCTGAAACCCTACAGATTTCCTATATAAAAAGCCACTAAAATTCTCAATAATCTTTGTTTATATTATACAGCTGTCACTAGCAAGACCCCACTCATTTTGAGAAAGGACAGCCTTGCTTAGAATGATGAACATAAGGAAGTGTACACCTAAAGTTCAAAATACTGACCATGGGGCATGATGCACCTTTGCCATTCTGAAGAGTGACCAAAGACAATGGAACATTCCCTACTGCCGCTAGCAGAACTTCCAGCTTTAACCTGGTGTTCTGGATCCCCAATCACACAAGCTTTCAGCAAAGAAGGGCTTCTAAGTAACTTGCCAAAAGGGCAAACATTCCAACCCCAAGCTAGAAATTTCCATCACCACTCCACAAAAATTTCTTACTCTCATTCTCTATTAGTAAAATAAAATGAAATAAAAAAATTGTTTTTAGGTCATTTGACTTCTTCTTTTTCAAAACTTCCCTTCTTGTTCTTTGCCCATTTTAAGCAGTACAAGATAGAGGGTAAAAGCATGGACATCAAAACCACACTCCTGGTATGAAAAGGTCAACCATACAGTCAGGAAAAAACTTAGCTTACTATCTACTAGACACGCAAGCATGAACAAGTTTCTTAGTCTCTCTATGCCTTAGTTTCCTCATGTGTAAAATGGAATAATAAGAGCATCTACCTCAAGTAATTAATTATGAGAATTTAAAGAATATATAAAAAGCTCTCAGAAGGATATCCAGCATATAATTTTCAAAAGTAAATATTATTGTAATAATTATAATACTACTTTCATTTTAGCATGCCCTACTATTGATCCGAGAGATGTTTTTCAAACATTAAAGACATCCTATCTTTGTATCCCAATTATCTTGAATGTCAACAAATTGAAGCTTTTTGTTTATAATTAAGATCTAACATTATTTTCTCTTCTTGTTCTGTCCATTATTTTCCATTATGTAATTCTTAGCCACTCCAAGATGAAAGAAATATTCACTGAAATCTTGTGACTTTTTAAAATCACTGTAATCCATTTGCATTACTTATAATATTCTAAATATTTTTTTCTTCCAAACAATTGCATATATATACCCATGTCTCAAATGGTTTGTTCAAGTTTTGTTTTCATATAGTTTCAGCAACATTCAAAGATGAGATCAACAATGAATACATAAGTACATTAGAAGAGCACAGGCACCCCCCATTTTATGTCATTTCATTTTATTACATTTTGCAGATATTGCATTTTTTACAAATTCAAGTCTGTGGTAACCTGTGTTAGGCAAGTCTATTGGCATGTGCTCACTCAGTATCTCTGTCACATTTGGTAAGTCCCTCAATATTTCAAGATGTTCACTGTATCTGTTATGGTAATCTATGATCTTTGATGTTATTATTATAATTGCTTTAGGGTGTCATGAACTACACCCATAAGAAAGCAAAGTTAATCAATAAATGTTGTATGTTTTCTGACTGTTCCACAGACCTGGTATGCCTTATCTCCCTCTTCTTGGGTATCCCTATTCCCGGACACAAAGTAATGTTGAATTTAGGTTAATTAATAACCTTATAATGACCTCTAAGTGTTCAAATGAAAGGAAAAGAATCTTACATCTCTCAATTTAAATCAAAAGCTAGAAATTATTAAGTTTAGTAAGGGAGGTATATTGAAAACAAATTTAGGAAAAAATCTGGGTCTACTGTTATCAAATAGCAATTGCTGAATGCAAGAAAAAATGAGGAAGGAAAAAAAAGGTCTTAAAGGAAATCAAAACTGCTACTCCAGTAAACATAAGAAAGCCTTCTTGCTAATAGGAATAAATTTTGAATGGTCTTTATAGAAGATCAAACCAGTCACAAAATTCCCTCAAGCCAAAGCCTAATCCAACAGCAAGGTCCTTACTCTCTTGAATTCTGTGAAGATTAAGGAAGATGCAAAAGAAAAATTGGTGTCTAGCAGAGGTTTTATTCATGAGATTTAAGAAAAGAAGCTTTCTCTAGAATATCAAAGTGCAAGGTGAAGCAGCAAGTACTCATGGAGAAGCTGCAGTAAATTATCCAGATTATCTAGCTAGCATCACTGATGAAGGTGGCTACACTAAACAGACTTTCCATATAGACAAAATACTCTTCTACTGGAAGATGCCAGCTAAGGCATTCATAGCTAGAGAGGAGAATTCAATGTCTAGCTTCAAAGCTTCAAAAGAAACCTGACTCTCTTGGTAGAGGCTAATGCCAAAAATGACTTTAAGTTGAAGCCAATGCTCATTTCCCATTCTGAAAATCTAGGATCCTATAGAATTATTTTAAATCTACTCTGCCCTGTATTTTATAAACGGCCCCAAAAGCCAGCTGACAGTATATTTGTTTACAGCATAGTTTACTGCATATTTTAAGCCCACTATGGAGACCTACTGACCAGAAAAGAAGATTCTTTTCAAAATATTACTGCTCACTGACAATATAATTTGTTACCCTAACACTCTGATAAATGGCAGTGCTGACACATCACTCTGTAGCCCATGGATCAAGGAGTAAAATTAAATTTTGTTATTGTTCTTGAAGAAATACATTTTGTGAGGCTACCACTGGCATAGATAATGATTTCTTTGATGTATCTGGGCAAAGTAAATTAAAAACCCTCTAAAAAAATTCATTATTCTGGATGTCATTAAAAACATTTGTGATTCATAGGAGGAAGTCAGATTATCTGCATGAACAAGAGTCTGAAAGAAGTTGATTCCAATCCTCATGAATGACTTTGAGGAGTTCAAGACTTTAATAGAGGAAGTAACTGTAGATGGGGTGGAAATAACAAGACAACTACAATCTCGAGTGAAGCCTGGAGATGTGACTGAATAACTGCAATCTCATGATGAAACTATGATGGATGAGAAGTTGCTTTCATTGGATGAACAAACAAAATGGTTTCCTGAGATAAAATCTACTCCAAGTGGAGATGCCGTGAACATTGTTAAAATGATAACAAGGATTTAGAATATTATGTAAACTTAGTAAAGCAGTGGAAGGTCTTAGAGGAATGATTCCAATTTTGAAAGAAGTTCTACTGCAGGTAAAATGCTACCAAACAGCATCACGTGTGACAGAGAAAGGAACAGTCCATCAATATGGCACACTTCACTACTGTCTTATTTTCAGAAATCACCACAACAACCCCAAATTTCAGCAGCCACAATGCTTACCATCAAGGTAAGATCCCTCACCAGCAAAAAGATCGCAATTCACTGAAGGCTTGGATGATCAATAGAATTTTTTAGCAATTAAGTATTGTTAAAATTAAATAAAGCTATATATGGTTTTTAGATACTACTGCACACTTTATACACTATAGTATAGTGTAAACACAATCTTCACATGCACTAGGAAACAAGAAAATCATATTACTTGCTTTCCTGAAGGGGTCTGTGGGCTTATAATAACTCTGGGCTCTGCCTATACATCTTAGAAACCATAAGTATGTTTAAATGGCTTGTGATTTGTGAACAAAAAGCACAGATTTCAAATGTACAGTACTTTGAAACCAAAAGGAATCATAATTTGTGAGATACCGTGCAGTTCCATGGCCTGAAAACACGAATAATTCCAGATTAGATAGGGAAGTATGAAGCAATGACTTATAAAGTTTTTTCCAAAATCAGCTCCTATTCACAAGTACCAAGAAATTGTGAAAATACAGGCACAGCTGTTGGCTAGATTCATCGCTATCTTGTCAAGTTAAGCAGGCTTTTAAGGTCAAGTTACATACTACTTATGTAATGAAGGATAATTATTTGTTAGCTTAAATAAGACCGTGTACCTTGATTACAGTGTTGGTACAGAGAAAAGGAGACTGAGGCATGTGAATTGGAAACATTATCTCTGAAATTTACAATCATTTAAATTTATTCATAGGTACTTACAGTTCTAATTAAGGCATAACATCTCAAACTGATGAACAGCTCTAACAACAGAGGAGCATAAAGGCCACAAGATAATATATTAATTGCCTTTCTCTTCTACGGAATAGTGTTTCTTCAATAAACTGTGACAT